AAGTTTTCAAAAATATACTTAGTACGTCATACTTTTTAACATTTCATTGAAGAAAATATCGTATATTGGTTATATTATTTTGAATTAACAATTTTTTATAACAAGTTATAATGTCATTAAACAAAATACACGGAATGCTTTAATGTATATAGTAATGTTCAAAAATGAAAAGTTGGTTTACTCTAAAATTGAATTGTTAATATTTTGTATGACTACGACGCAACAAGGTGCCATGAATTATACATTGTTGCCTTCGAATAATATATCGTTGTATTTCTAATAATATACAACCATTAAAACACAACATAATATATTTAGTAATCAAGTGTTGTGAAGTACAATATTTTAGCGTGTATGTTGTATATGAAAAATGCAAATTGTGTTGGTGACAACATTTTTGTGTCTTCTTTGAGTGTTCTTTCGGTTTGGGATACATAAAATACGTTATTGTGGTAGTATTTGTTGGTAAACACATAAGTCATGTAAATGTATTTTTGTAAATACTGCTCGTCTGACCCCTTTTTCTATATGTTGATGACTTAGAGTGCTCAAGGTGCACAAATGGTGTTGTTGTGAAATGTTTCGGTGATGGCTCCTTCAACAAAGACAAGTCACTCAATTGTAAAAAGGCACATCACTTATGATATTATATTTTCAACGTCGAGTTCAACAATATGTTAAATTTTTAAAGTGACATTTCCGGTTTATCTGCGAAATGATATTTAAATATGTGTCGTATTTAATGCAAAAATCAATCATTGCATTTGACTGACTGTTCTTAGTTGTGTTTTAAACACTACAAATTGAAAGCTCGTTGATACCTTACATATACCTAATCTTTAACATTCTGAGACAAATTCCGACATACTTTTTTATTACGTTTAAAAGTCTATACTCAATTCTAATGTCAAATTTTATTAAAACTAAAAATGTCAAAATACATGGAACGCTTATACACTCATAAGACATTTTGACACTAAAAGTTTTCCAGAAGTCACTATCAAACAAGGTGTTACATTGACTTACTCGGAATTGACACCAATAAAATCACAACTGAGTGTTTTCAAAGTATTTGGAAATGATAAAGCATTGATTGGAAATACCCTTTTTATCACTGTCACTGATTCAATATTTGAAACGTTGTAATCAACAAATTCAATCATCAATGTGAATAAATTCAACTTAGAAGGTCTTAATATCAAATTTCCAGTAAAAACCACAACTACACACATTCCACCCATTAACACGTTACTGCCAATGAGTGGTGCATCTCTTCCTACAGATACTTTACTTGTATCTAATTTCAAAACATTGATTAACAAATCAACATCTGTTTTTCAATGCCCAATGATGTACTCTGCACAGTTACTGACATGGAAAATTGCCATAGAAAAGACACCAGTACAGACTATAAACAGAGTTATAACATTGAAATTTCAACCGCCGTGTATAGTGTGGTTAGACTTGAAAACAATGCAGAAAAGACAAAGGATTATGATATTGTTAATGTGAAACAGGACTGCGTGACAATTCAAATAATGAAAGGAGGCATTTATACGTTGAACATACACATGAGTGGAGAAAGGGTGATGTGTATTGGTGATGGTGCAGATAGTAAAAAATGTAAAATTGTTGTCAATACTTATGTTGATACAAATCAAATCAATTTACTTTGTAAAAACATTGTTTTGGCAAAAAAAATATTAATGTTGATAATCTGATTTCCTTTGTCAAAATAACGGGAGACGTCTCTTTGAGTACATTTGAAGCAACACAAATGTATATTGAAATGGTTGAGAAGGGCATCTTAAGAGTGGAACAATATGCATCTTTTGGATCACTTTTGCTTGTAAAAATTCACACATTTATGCATTTGAATCGTTTGATACTTCACTCTTACAATACATGGGTGGTGAAATTGTATTTGATGCATCAGACAATCAGGTTGTTTTGAACGTAAACAGGTTGAAGTGAACACCACATTTGTACAATCGGCAAAGGATCAGTGCATCACTCCGATTATCAGAAAGGCATTCACAAATGGTGAACCAATAAACATAGACGCTGTATCAGAACTTGTGTGGAAAGGTTCTGTAACATTCACAGAACAGGGAAAATTGTGTATTACGACTGTGGGTTTTCAAAACTCGAACATGTCAAGCACTCTGTAGCAGTTTGGCTGTGATATGTCTTCCAGGTTGATTGCACCAAAGGTGTGATGTATTTGCTGCACAAACTCTATCATCGCACCAGCATCAGCCTTCCCAGCAACCTTCGAGTCAATGCAGATGGGAACGGCGTCAATACCACCCAAGTACTTCATCAGCAACGCCTTCCCTTCCATCACACCAAGCCCACCAGCAGGTGTCACATCGCCATCACCAAGCACTCGTGTCGAGTCCGAGACAACACCAACAAAGTTGCCACGCATCGTACACAACAATGATGAGTCGTTGTCGTCACGGATGTTTGTTGAAATGCGAGATACGCCGGGAGTGTAGTACGCGTTGAACCAGTTAAACCCACACAATACACTTCGGCATGATCTGGATCTTCCCTCGAAAGAATTTGTGTGCCTTCTCAACAAGTGTCTTGTAAAACTCAGTCTGTGTATTGAGTAACTATGCTAATACTTGTAGGGAGGCATATCACAAGTGATACGCCTCTTTAAGTGTCTGGTTTTACGAAATGTTGTACTTTTATTGTGACACTTCAAGTTTCACTGCGAAATATCTTTTAAATACGTGTTGTATCTGTTGCAAAAAATCAATCATCGCACTGGGCTAGTTGTTTTTAGAAGTTTTCAACACGCTCCAAATTGAAACCATGTAGATACAGTACACAAACTCTCTAATCAATGCTCATTGACATTTTTTCAACATTCTTATTTATAACAAACAAACAATTAATTAATAAATTATTATTAAATAAATAAAAAAAGTAAATTTTAATTCAAAAAACAGTTTCTCGAATTGTGACCACCTTGACCGCACTTTTTACAGTGGTACACTCTTTTGACCGGAGCGTTTGGTTCAACCTTATTCAAACCCCGACCAAAAACAGGTGGTTTCGGTGGAACTACTCTTCCTGGATGCGTCACCATTTCTACCATTATTCTGGGTCTTGGTCCTTTTTGAAATTGTCGCGATGGTTCAGTCAAATTGTCAACAAATTTTTGGGTGCATACTAGCGACTTCTCTTTACAATAGTGTTACTACTTTCTTTGTTTTCTGTTATAAAAATCGACTTCCTACCACTTGTAGATTTAGTGACCACTAAACTGGGTCGGAGTCTTTTCCTTGTTTCTTCGACAACAAATTCTTCAATGTGTTCAGTTTTCTCATTTTTTCCTTTCAAAACGTTGTTGACAAATTCATAACATCTCACTAAAAGGGTGTAGTCATTATTTAAAACGTTTTCTATTGCTTCAAGAGCAAGGTGTAGATCACGTCGACTTTTTGGTGGCTTGACTGTCTCATCAACTGAGATAGTTTCAGTTGAATGGACACATTTTGTTGTTTCAAAGAGTTTATCATTGAAGAGAGTAACTGGAAGGGGGAAACACCACTTTATAGAGTACAGTGTAACCAAGTGAATACACGGGTATTTGTTTTCTATAAATTGGTCACAGTTGCACGAAGATAAAGTGGTGCCATCAACAATCATTCCCATACCACTTATTGCGTATCTATACTCTGTCATGACTTTGTGTATAATATCCTTCGGTAAAATGTACAGTATATTCTCATCTACCACCAACCGAGCCGCATTGTAATCAAAATTGAACTGTAAATCAAAACGTATGCTGTCTGCTTCAAGTAGTTGCGCCAATTCCAAAAGAGTCACTTCTTTTCCCCCAAACTTAAGTTTAAAAAGTCCAAAGTATCCTTCTATCGCATTTGAAGTTGTTCTGTTTGAAATACACTCCGTGACGCTTGGTCTCCAGCAATCCATCACATTAAGTAAACCTTGGATTAATCGAATTTTATTTTTAGTACGGTCTTCTTTTTTCATTTTTATTAGCTATTTTTAATTCATTAATAATTTCAAATAGTATTTGTCTATCATTTAATATAATGTTATCACTTCCTTCAATTCTTTCATTTTGATCAGTACTGAGATCCGATCCACTCATCGTCATTAACGTTTTGACAAAGTCTGTTTCTGAAACCGTTTTATCAATCATTTGATACCACATATGAACAATATTTGACCTTTCACCAAAGGCAACGATAAGATCTCTTGCAATATGCCCGTGACAAAAAAAACGAATTTGATTCCAGAAAAGACGGAAGAAAGTGCGGAAATCTGTGACATACACCTATCACACACAACCAAATTAAATTTTCTAAATTTAGAAACGAATTTGAACAAGTTGAAAAATGAATCAGTTGTTCTATCTCTTAATATACCATAAAAAATAATATGTGTTTTATTTTTTTCGTCTAAAAACACTGCTACTATTAAAGGCAAATTAAATACATTAGTTAAAGCTGTATCATCTATAAACATTCTATTTGAATAATCAGTTGAAATTTGATTGACGTTGAAAGCAAAAAAGAAACAAATTGTCCTGAACTGTTTTTTGTGAAGTGAGTTGAAAATTGGTTAGTTTTTTCGGCGTACAAAAATAGTTGTTGTGTTTGATCAGGTGAAAATTTATTAAACGAAGATGAAATAAGACGTCGAACTACTGATGGCTTGACTGCAAGATTCATTGTAGTGACAATTTGTGATGTGGAATAATGTATCGTAGAAAGCTTTTTCATCTCATTTATTTGTTCCTGTGAAAAAATAATTCTCATGTGTAATGGAATATCCGTAGTAAAGTTGTGGGAGTGATTATTTGTTATAACAATATGTTTAACCATTGTTTTATTTTCATTCAAATTCAAACAAATGGTACAATAACATTTCTGGTAAACACAACGGAATGTCTGTTTGAGTTTTTGTGAATCGCTGTTTTTAGTAACGAAGAGAGAACATGTCTGGTTAGCAACAGAGATAGCTGATGCCTCTGCCATTGTTTTTGATTGGGTTTTGAAGTTGTAGGAAATAAACGCATTGGCTATTGAATCGATGATGTTGTCTGGGGTTTCAAGCTTTTCTTTAAATAAATAAGGGTTACCTTCTTTGGTTTTGACATCGAAGGTGAAAAGTACTTGGATTTTGGTTGAGTGTTCTTCCATTTAGTAATTAAGAGTTTTAGATTTGTTAATATTGAAAGTATGGTTTATTTAATTATTATATAATTTAGTGTTTTAAAATTAAATATAAATCAAAACGTTTTCTTTGCGCCAAAACATGCGACAAAAAAACAAAAAAAAACAAAAAAATGACGTTTTATATAAAACTTTTACTGGTTTTACTTTTTTAGATGTAAATGAGAAAAAGTAAAACCCTATTTTTTTCAAGACTCAAAAAACAAAAAATACAAAAAATGTTTTATTTTTATATAAAAAATATGTATTTATAGCGGGGTGTGGGTGTAAAAGGTAAGTCCCCTTTTAAATATATTAAAGAAACCCCAAAAACACGGCGAATATTTAAAAATGTTACTCATTCAATCCAGCCATTAATTAAATAGATCTCTATGTGAAAGTGTTATTGTGTAAAATCAACTGAGATTGATTATGGTAATAACTTATAGTTTTAATATTTTCGATTTCAAGATGTAATTTCAAAAAATATTTAAATATCTAAATTGAATTTGTGTCCTGCTCGAAAATTATATAAATTTTAATAATATAAAAATACAAATAATAACCAATAAAAATGGTTGTTCATAATAAAATATGGTTAATCTTATCGAGATAGACTATTATATGCCAACTCCAAGAAAAATATTCATAAAATCTAAAAATGATGATAAAAAGCATACGTAACTAACGTGCAAATTGATATTTTGTGTTTGATAAAACAAATAAATTATAATAATCGTAATAAGAAAAAACATAATTAATTATGTTCACTGAATGACTCAAATTAATAACAGTAGTTGATATTAACAATAAGTAACACGCTTTTGTGTTATAGTGAAAATGATAGAGTCGAAATAGTTGTAAAATATAATAACGATAAAATGAATGCATTATACATCGCTTTTACAGACAGTGATGTTTCTGCAATTGATTATCAAGCAACTCAAATATAAATAAAAATAATAATAATTTAAAAATTTTAATTGACAATAAAAAGATAAATTACTCATAATGAAAAACACAACAAAAATTAAAAATATACACCAAATAAAACAATAAAATAGCATCGATAAACAAAAAAGTTTAATTTTTTGTTGTTTGAAAAATCAAAAACATAGTTGTGGTTTACCTTATTCATTTTAAACACTCTTTTCAATAGATTATAAAAATATGTAACTGTATACATCAACTTGTCAAAAGTCATTAACAAACAATTGGTTAAACAGTCCATGTATTAGACAAAAAGTCGGACAACAATATAAAAATATGTGGATTATATGTAATGAAGGGTAATTGTTATAAAAACAATATATATTTAACACTAAAAACTGTTTTTAATGATTGCTTGTTATATTTTAAATTCTTTTTATAAACACTCTTCAAGAGATTAGTCACAGTATAGTAAATACCAAAAGATGAAAAAATATATTATAAACAGAAAAAACAGTCAAAAAATCTTGCTACATCGTACTGTCTGAAAAAAATACACAGTTAATAAAATGGGTTTTTTGAACAGTTTATATTTTTTAATAAAGACTGTTGTGTACATATATTTTGTGTTTTTTTAATTATCACTAATGTGTTGATGTTACTTTTGCAATTTGTATTTCATTTCAACTCAAAACCAATATTTTTTTGTTTGGTGTATAAAAAACATATTTTTTGTTTTGGAATAAATGTTATTGCATTTTACCATTATTATTATTTTGCCATTTTTTACGTTATTGTCATGAAATTTTATATTTTTTTTCATTTTTTTCACATTTTATTTGTTTTTTAGTTCACAATTTGAACTCGTTATTCCGTTTTCATTTTACTATAATTGAACTACACTGTATAATATAATTTTTTTCAAAAAAACAAAAACACTGCTCTTTTTAACAGTATTGGTTTGTTGGGGATTAGGTACGTCGGCGAGTTAATTATCATGTTTTCATTAATATATTTTAACTATTTAACTAATTAAACATATAATGTGTACTCGATTGGATCGCTACTCGATGATGATAATTTCGAAATATTTTACTGATATGTCTGATTATAAAAACATGGTGTTTATATGTCGAAAGTTCCAAGAAATTCCAGAGATGTTTCACTTTAATCCCATATCCATCACACTCAACACACAAAGGTATTTTCCAAACGTTGAGACTCTTCACCTTTACAATGAAACAGATAAATTTCTACCGGGATATTATCAGTATTACGTTCATTACCCAATTCCTCTTTATAAGTCTATTGAAATAAACAAAAGAAGACGTGTCATTTGTCCGCTAAAAACTTATTCTTTTTCCCATAAAAATGACAAATTTTTATATAAAGATGCTACTGTTTTTGTTAACAAAGCATTTTGTCACATTCGTGAGTACATTGAAATGGATTGCTCAAACATTATAAAATTTGGACATTCATGTTTTGCGTATAATAATTCATTGGTCACAATAACACTGTCAAGTAATTTGTATGAGATACCAGACAAATGTTTTTATACGTGTGCAAAACTCAAAGAAATCAATTTGGAACACATCAGAATGTTTGGGGAGTTTTGTTTTTATTGGTGTGATAAATTGAGTGCGATAACTTTAGGTACAAACATTGTAAAAAGTGCGAAAAAAGCATTTGATGGGGTGTCATCAATCAAAAATGTTATAGCGCCGGGAGTCAAAAGCGTTGACTTTGATGTAAACGCTTCTATATCATATGCATTTTGTAACATCAAACATAAAACAGTCACCACAGAATACGACAAAAATGTTTTGCCAGACTTTTTATCGGATGAAATTCGAACCAAAGTGTTTAGAAACAGAATCGGACTATCCGATATCAATTTAGCAAGTACTGTTACCGTTATTGAAGATGACGCGTTGTCTTGTTGTGATATGGAAAGACTTGATTTGTCGCATGTGATATCTTTTGGAGTCCAAAATTACATGACCCGTCTCACTGCTATTACTTTGAATAAAAATGTTCGTATCGACAATTTCTGGGAATACACTGGACTCAAGAAAATCAGTGCAATTAATACTCAAAAAGTCAATGTTAAGGCTGCTTGTTGGATGAAAGATATTTTAGACGAAAATCTTGAAGTCGATGAATTTTATTACACTTACAAAGACGTCGATCATTTTAAAGGAAAACTTCCATTGAATTACAAAAATTTTAAAACAATAATTTTAGACGTGAACTTTGGTAATTACAAATATGAAGAAGTTGAAATACCAATGGGAATCACTATGATGCGTTGTTCTGCATTTCTTGATAACGAAAAATTAAGAAAACTGGTGTTTCCTACAAGTTACACAAAATATGACAGGTTGAATTTTACTCATTTAAATCTAGAAGAATTGTGTATAACTCCACAACCAAAACTTGTGATATCAAATTGTCCCAAACTTACATCACTTACTCTTCTTGATCATAATGTCACGAATTATTGTATGTTTAACA